CCCCCCCCCCTCCCTCCCTCCCGGTGGCTTTGCCCGAAGAAACATCAACGATGCGCGATTCTTCCAAAGCGCCAACTGCCATGGGTACCTCGGCTTGCTTTACATTCACCAAGCCATCAGTGCGGCAGCCAACAGCAGCGCCACTTCGCTGGCTGGTGCTTTGCGCCGGGCAGCCAGCCGGCGCCCCGCCCCGGTGGATCGCCACGATGCTCGGAGCTTGGCCGGGTTGCTGGCCGACCGTCGGCTCCGGGCCGATGCCCGCCGGGTGGTTGTGGCCGCCCTGCCACGGGTCCCTTCGGCCGGGAGTGACCTGCGCTCGGCCGAGCGGCATCTCCGCCGGGCGGCCGAATTGGATCCCCAATCCGAGGCCTGGGTCTTTGGCCTATGGCAGCTGTATGGCCTGGCTGGGCGGCTGTTGACGCGGTCATCGCGTGAGCGCGGCCCTCTTGGCCTGGTCGTTCGCAGCCACCTTCGCACCTTTCTCAAAGCCAATCCGGACAACCTGGCCGGCTGGGTGTATGTCTCCCATGCTCGCTTTCTCTCTGCTTCTCTCTCTCTCTCCATGTTCCCCTTCTTGCCCCTCCCCTATGCGGCCATAACCATAACCGCCATTGACACGTACGCTTCGCCCCTCTTGGCCCTTTTTTCGACCCTCCTCTCGATGGCCGTCTCCAGCATGTACCATGACTTTCTTCAGGCATCGGCCGAACTGTCGAGCCAGCGCGCGCCCGGGCGCTCGAACGCCCTGGTCATGGCCGAGGCAGCCGGCAAGGCGCCGGACTCGGCGGATCCCCGGCCGCGCTTGGATCCGTTGCACTTCTCGTCGCTGGGCCGAGCATCGGCCAAAATCGCCCGGCTCGATCCCCTTTGTCGGCGCCTGATCTATGAGCAGGCGCTGCTGCATTTGATGCGCGAGGCCGTGGGTGCTGGCGCCGCCATCCCCGGGAGTCAGCGTTTCTCCTCCACCGGGCCCCTGTCGGCGGGGTCCTTCGCGCACCTACGTCGGGCATTGGACCTGGCCCAGTGCCGGCTGCTGGCCCTCCATGCATCGACCACTGTGCACTATCGGTGTAGGACGGCCGGCGCGCGGCCCATTGCTCTGGACACGCCTCGGCCATCGGCCGGCGATCCCTGGGCCGAAATGGCGGCCCTCGGTGTTCGATGGCCGGCGGACTTGTCGCTGCTGATCAACCGGCTGTCCACCGACCGGCCGGCGCCAGCGCGGCATCTCCATCGGAAATCCTACTGGCAGCAGCGTCCCTGGACTGGGCGAAACTTTGGTGCACACGCGCGCGACCTGCCCGCCCAGAGTACCGCCGACGTCATTGGCCTTCAGGATACGCCATCCATCCGGGCGTCGTTGGCGGAGAGTCACATTGGCGGCTGGCAGCCGCTGCTTCCGCTTCAGAGTGAGCATCTTGCCCAGTTGGCCGGGACCGCCGGCGGGGGCTGCCATGCGCAAATCGAGGCATCAGACTGCTTGGATCTCGGCCACCGGGCTGCCGAGGCCGAGGCGCGCGAGCTGCTGCAGCTCTGGCGCCAAGCCTTGCGACTGGGCATGATGGCGGTGGGCCCCCCCCATCCCGACACCACACGGACCTGGCCCGGCGGCGCGCCCCAGGCGGCCGAGCATCTGGCCGAGCTCCACCGAGCGGCCTCGGCCCCGGGCGCCGAAAGCCGGCATTTCCCCAGCAGCACGGCTTCCTGGCTGGCGTCGATGATTGCCCTCATCCCCGAGGCGGGTCTTGGGCAATCGCACGCGGTCTTCAACCACCTTACTCGGCCAAGCGCAAGCACAGGTGCCACTCGGCCGGCCACTTGCCACTGGTCATACGGCGATGGTCCGATGGATCTCTGGGACCCGGCGATCCAGCAGGCGCGCCATTCTGCCACCACGGCCGTTGCCTCGGCCGGTGCGACGGTGGCCCGGGCCGACGCCCGTCCGGGCAATGTTTCACCTTTCCCCGGCTCGGCTTCCGCCCGTTCCCGGTCCTCCCCCGCGAGCGACACCTCCTTTTCAGATCACTCGGATGGGGCATCCAGCTCCCATTCCCCTTCAGACCCCCCGTCGGATCCCTCTTCGGACTCCTTGACAGACTCCTCCTCGGGCTCCTCCTCAGATTCAGATGGAGCCCCCTCCCCGCCCGTGGAATCCCCTGCCCTGGATGCCGATGCCCCCTCCGCATGCTCAGCCCCGGGAGGGGGATGTTCGTGTGCTGGGCGCGTTGCTCGGATCTGGGCGGCCGTGGTGACCTGCCAACTGCTGGTGGCGGTGCTTCTTTACGCACCGCAGCTTTGCGCCCTTCCCGATCCCACCGGACTGCAGGGGCTCCTTCGGCACTTGAAACGAGCCACGCACCCGGCACACACGTCGACCACCGATGGCGGCCGCCCTCCGTTGCCGATGCGCCTGTTCAACTTCCTCTGGGGTGGCTTCTCCGGGCGGGGGTTCATCCCCCTGTGGCTGCTTCGAGGGGAGCTGGCCGAGGCCGTCCGGGCGGTTCGATCATCGGCCGCCGGAACCGAGGATCTGGTTCCAGGCAGGTGGTTCATGACCCTGCTGGACCATGTCGGGGTGTACTTCGAACTCCTGAGTCGGGCTCTGCTCGGCTCGGCGGGCGGGTGGTACGCTCCGGTGCACCCGATGGACGATGCTGTCCCTTCGGTTCGGCGCTTCCATTACCAACAAGCGCGGCATCTTATGCGTGCGTTGGTCTTCCCGGGCCGCACCACGGCCGAGAACATTGTCGCCTGGCAGCCGGAGGATGCGCCTGAGCCGGACAAACGCCCCTCCCAGCTGCTTGGCCTGCCCCCGAGTGACATCTCCCGGGATGGCGAGGCGTCTGACTTGGAAAGGGGAAGAAGCCCTTCGCCAAGCGCCCCGGATCCGCTGTTCCTGGCGCCGGAGATGCTGGAGGGTGGGCCTGTTACGCGTTCAAAGCGCCGTCGTTTGTTGTCTCGCCGACTGGGGGCGGATGGTCAGGTTTCGACCGCTCCGGCCGATGACCACCAGGATGCAACTTCATCGCCGGCCGCCTTCCTGGATTTCGAGTCCCAGACCCAGTCGCAGCCCTTGTTTTGAGCCCCGACAGTCAGGCTCGGCCTCCGGTTTCACAGCCTTTTTCCACACACACACACACATATATATATATATATATATGTATATGTATATGTATACATACAAACACGACTTTCAAGGAATTGTCCTTTGTTCCGTCACTTCTGCTGTCCCTTTCGGGCCTTGTGACCGTGTGCTGATGGTAATTGCGGATGCGGACACTAATGCGGGCGGGGGAGGGTAGGAGAGATCTATTTCGCAAGGACAAGCACAGTTGAAGGGACAAAGGAACAACTGTACATGGCAGGAACAAGGACAAAGAATGGCATCGTGCACCGGGGAGGAGGGGACATAGAAAACTCGAGGGAGAGAGAGAGAGGGGGGGGGAGGGAGAAGCATGGCAGAGGGGAGGAAAGAGGACGAGAGGTTGGCCGGACCGGCCGGTCAACCAAAGGAAAGTGCCAAACAGCCGGACGGGCACCACATCTTGGATGCTGGCTCTCACACGAGGGCGAAACCGATGGGCTCTTCCAGCGCGCGGCGAATGCGCTTGAGTGCCTCGCGCCCACTACGATAGCGCGGCACGGCAAACAGACGAATGCACGTGTGCGCAGAGGGGAGGACCCGCTTCGGGAGATAGTGATGTGGGCACATGCGCACCGGGGCCTGTGCATAGGTGGCGCGCTCGTCATCGGAGTCGGTGCGCGGCTCGTCCATATCCTCATCGGTGCTCAGCTCCGAGTGGTTGTACACCCCCTTGCACTTGCACATGAGGCTGGGCGCCAGGCGAGAAACATCCGACCTGAAGACGCTGCTCTCGGAAGCAGGGCCACCGGTGTGCCGGTCGACCATGGCCGCGGGGATGTCACCCTCCGAAGCCGAGGCAGCGGCAGTCGAGGTGTCGGAGGACACCGATGGCCGATCGACCGCCAGGAGCTCCTGCTCTCCTGGTGGAAGGGGAGAGGGACTCCGCGAGGCAGGGGCACCCGAAGGCAACATGATATCCGCCAGCTCGGTGGCGAACACCGCGGCAGACACGGCAATATCAAGGATGCCCATGCTGCCATCTGGGGCCTCATTGTCGCTGTCCTCGGTGTCACTGCTGTCCGCATCATCGCCGCTATCATTGGCCCCGGGCTGGTCGCCCTGCTCAAGGGCATCGGAAGTGACACGGGGAGATCCATCGGAAAGGGTGATCCCCTCGGAGTCGCTCGACAACGACATGACATCATCACCGACTCGCCAGGTGGGGTCCGGCTGCGAGGTCTCCCCGGCGGAGGAGGAGGCCTCCAAGTCGGAGGAGGAGGCCTCCAAGTCGGGGTCATCCTCCACCGAAGTCGAGGAGTCCGAGTCGGAGGCCACATCGGTGCTCGACAAATCGGACGAAGAGAATGTCGGGTCGGGCTCGGACTCGGAAGAGTCGGTCTCCATGACGCGCGAGAGGCCGATCTTGATCGAGGGCGGACCGCCCCAGAATGAGGAGGATTGCCCGGCACAAATGAAGCGCACCAGGCGATCCAGCTCTCGCGGCGTCAGACACCGAAGGGCCCGGACAAAGCGCCGCATGGCCGGGTGGCGGCGCTTTAGCGGCAACAGCAAGATCGACCGATCCAAGATGTCATCAGCCGTGAAGTGGGTACTCCGTGCCTGGAGCAGCTCCCCTGGTGAGGATGCCGTCAGGGCGGGGGTCGGCTGCAGAAGTCGAGCCAGGGCACGGGGCTGCCGAAGGGCGCGAAGGAGCAGGAGCAGGAGAGACAAGCAACAAACCGAGGAAAGAGGGAGAGAGAGGGAGAGAGAGAGAGAGGGAGGGAGAGAGGGTTAGGCTGACGGATGGGTCGCGGACTGGATGCCTGCAGGGCAGACCGGGAAGGAGAAAGAGAGAAAGAGAGAGAGAGAGAGAGAGAGAGAGAGGAGGGGGAGAGAGGAGAAGGGAAGGGAGAAAGAAAAGACCAACAGAACGCACCGCCCAGAAGAGGGGGATTTCGGTCGGCGCAATCCGATGATTCTTGGTTGGCAGGAGGGCCACCGAAATGCCATAGGCAATCGAGTGGGCAGCCTTGCGCACGGCACTGGTGGGACCGACCAGATGCGCCGCCTGCCGGACGATGTACTCCTCGACATTGAGACTTGTGACATCGCCCTCGGATGAAACCACCCCGGTCAAAGCAGCCAGGTTGGCATCCAGATCGCCGATGTCCTGCAATGTTGGCAGAGGTGCCTCGATGAAATCCTCGGCCACATTGGGCACCGGGCCGGATCCGGGCTTCAGCGCGGTGATCACTCGGGTGAAGGTCAAGCCCAGTTGGGCCACAGTGTCCGACTCAAGGTCCAGCCCGGCGCTCGGGACATCAACATTGACCGGCGCGTGCGGGGTGCTGGACGAGACGTTCATGGCCGCGGAGGAACGCAAAAAGCGGAAGACCTTGGCGAGAGACTGGCACCCGGCGGAACGGATCAGGGGTTCATGTTAGCAGGAGCGGCCCGAGCGGGGAGGGAGAGCGAAAGGGGCCGCATGGCACGAAAGGCCAAACACGACTGGAAGATCGCCAAGAAGATGGGGGAAAGAAGGCGGGTGTGGGTGCGGGGGGGGGACCGGAGAGCCAGAGCACAGCGGGAAGGCGAAAAACGCACCGGGTCAACAAGGCACGCCTCGGCTTCCAGTTCGGCCGGCTGGAGGTTCGGGCTGAAGCCGTGGCCAAGATCCCGCGCCCAGCGCAACGACGGAGGCAGCTCCGACTCCGGGTGCATGCCGATGAGGTCCGCCGAGATGAAGCGCCACAGGAGCGGCGCCAAGGGCGGAATGCCGAAAGTGCTCCCGGGCCCGGGAGTCGCGCCATTGAGGGCCGCCAGCCCGAGCCAAATGCCCACCAGGGTATAGTAATTCAGCAGGCGGATGACCTCCAGCGAGTGGGGCTCCCCCCGGTCGGCGGTGCCGGTGAACAGCGCCAGCGGGCTGTCGGTCCTCGGGAGGGCAAACGGCCCGGGACCCCATTCCCGGCCCCAGGGGAAAGTCTCGCCCAGCTGGTCGATGGCCGAGTCATCGGCCCCGCCGACCTCCACGAAGAGCCGGCTACTCGACCGGAAGAGCACGCGTCCCAGGCTGTTGAGGTACTCACGCAGGGGTCCACCAAGGTCCAGGCCTGCCTCCACCTCGAGCTCATTATCGGACCCGGAATCGTTGAAATTGAAGTCATTCGAAGAAGCGACGCTGGAGTCACTGGAGTCGCTGGAGTCACTGTCGGAGTCGGTCCCACTGCCGGACGGGGAGTCGGAAGATGCGGAACTGGCAGCAGGCGTATCATCGAGAGGGCCATCATCCACGGACGCCTCATCGTCACTGGACAGGGTGATGACGAGAGGCGTCTCCTCCTTCAGGTCATCCTCCACATCGCCATCATCGGCGTCGGTGTCCTCCACATCGCCGTCATCGGCGTCGGTGTCCTCCGCATCGCCGTCATCGGCCTCGGCCTCCGGCTTGTCGATGGTTGCCGAGCAGGAGGCGGCGTTCTCCTCGACATCGGCCCCGGTCTCCGGGGTGCTGGCGGAGTCCGGCAGATGGCCATCCTCCACGGAGAAGGGGCAAGCCACGGCCGGAGTGGGGACATCACCAACACCCGCCTCGAACAGAGCCCCAGACTCGGCCTCGGCCTCGGCCTCGGCCTCGGCCTCGACTTCAGAGGCTGACCCATCTTCCAGCAGCTCCGTGTCATCCGAGTCGAAAAAGAGAGACATCAAGGGTCCACTCGACGATTCATCGTCACTGGTGGAGGAGAGCGCCGCCAACATCGGCGCATCACCGAATAGGGCCATCAGCTCCCCGTCCAGCAAGCCCCCATCACCGCCTGAGTGGTGGCCGGTGCCTGGAAGGCCGTCCAGATGCGCGGCAAGCAGGCTGGCCATATTTTGGTCTTTCGGGAAGAGGAAGGATGCGGTGAAGAGGTCATACCAGAGGTTCTCCTCGGTGGCGTCGCCGCCGACACCGGCCTTGGCACCGCCAGCCGGCCGGTCAGACCCATAAGCCGTGATGAACTGAATGCGCAAGGGCTTTTGAATGTTGAGGCGCTTGTGGAGCAGCCCATGCAGGGTGTCGCGAACGAGATTGTTCCGACGAACCGGCAGGGCCAGGTTCAGCGACTCGGCCAGGGTGAGACTCTGTTGCCGAGGAATCCGCCGGATCTCGCGGTCTTCCGGCAGAGAGAAGGGCGCCTGGGTCGGCAGGTCGGGGAAGTGGCGGGAGGTGTAGCCCGCATTCTCCAAATCATTCGCGGTGAAGGAGAGCTTGTCATGGACAAAGCGGAAAATCACGGTACTAAGGTTGTTCTGCGTGCGTGTGTGTGCGTGTGTGTGCGTGTGTGCGTGTGTGCGTGTGTGTGCGTGTGTGCGTGGCCAAAAGAGCGCAAGAATCGGGAAGGGCGGCAGGGGAGAGAGAGCGGGGAAATACAAGAGGAGAGGACAATGAGGATGCGGATGACAGCGATATGTCAGGATGCAGGGGGCGAAAAAAAAAAAGGCAAGCGAAGTATGTGCCAAGGGAGGAAGAGGGGGCCCGACGCACGGAGATGGCGGCATTGAGTTCGGCCCAGGAACGGGCGCGCCAGGCGGCCGCCACCACCGAGGCCGGGAGGACAGAACTGGCGGATGCCCAGCGGGGAGCCCGGGCCAGAGGCAAGGCCTGATGTGCCACCTGCCAGAGCAACCGGGTGATGTCGGAAATGGGCCCATCTTCGGGATTGACAGCGGGTGGCCCGGCGGCCAAGAAGCGCTGGAGGGGAAGCTGCGTGGTCAAGGCCCGATGAATGGACCGGACGCACACACGCGCCCGATGCGGGGTCGCCACCACCATGCCGAAGGGATGGCCACTGGCCGGGCCGGTGGCTTGCCGGGAAAGAGCATCAAAAATGAGCCCGGACAGCTCGATCGTCGGGGCATAAGAATGAGCGGCCAGGATTTGCTCCGGGGCCCGGAATAGGCGCGCCACGGTCCGGGTGAATTGCTGGATGGTGGACTTGGCAACCGGGGCATTTTCCGAGCGCGGAGTCCAATCGGCGAAGGGGAATTGGCTTTCCTCCAAACCCAGCCCCGCGCGGCTGTGGTAAAGCACTCCCAAGGCCTCGGAAAAGAGGACCACCAGGCTGGCCGCGGTGAGACTCCCCGAAGGGAGGGGCTCCGGGTGGATGGACACCCGACCGGCCAGCAGCGACAAAGACGGCAAGGTCGGGCCCAGGTCGCTGGAAAAGACACTGGGCTGCGGGTGGACCGACCGTGGGCCAAGCACCACGCGTTGGGCATTGGCCAGGGCATTGCGCATGCTGTGCAAAAGCGCATGCGCGGCCAGGGGCAGCGAGGCAGCCAACACCGCCACGGGCTCCGGGCCGAAGGCCAGCAGGAGCAGAGCCACAAGGGCCTCATCGCGAAGATTGGCCACATGGAAGGCCTGGTCCTTCTGGCCATGTCGGCCGATGGACGGGACGTCATCATGCCGGCGAGTGACGCGCGGAAGCCAAGCACGCAGTTGGGCCGCGGCCAGCAGCGCGCGTGGCACCGCCCGCGCAAAGGCCGCCTCGGCGAGGATGCTTTCACGGCGGAGAATGGCCCCGAGCAAGTGCTGCAATGGGCGCAGGGCGGTGGCCTGCATGTGTCGAGCCGCCTCGCCGGTCAAGGGCCCGAGAGCCGGGCGCGGCCGGAAGGGGCGCAAGTAGTGAATTTCCGCGAAGGGAGACTCCAGGGAACTGGTCGGGTGATTGCCCGGCCCGAGGGTGGCACTGCGGACTTGCTGGCGCGGGCAGCGATCGGCCTCCAGCGGCACGAGGAGGATCACCAGAGTGGCCCACACGCGTGGGGCAATCAGCAGGCCAAAGGCCGGCACGGCGTCGGAGTAGTCCAGCGGCTCGGCCCCCCCGGCGCCACAGGGCCAGGCCCAGGCTCCCAGCGGGGCGGCCGCCGCTCGGGTGTTGCGAACGAGGCGCCGATCGGCCTCCAACACGGGCGGGGGAAATGGGAACCCGGCCAATTGGGAGAAGTCCAAAAAGTCATCCTCCGGCCCGGTGGATGTCTGGCAGGCGGCCTGAAGCTGGGCAAAGTCCGCTCGCAGGATGAGCTCGGCCAGCAGGCCGGGCGCGTCGACAAACAGCCGGTAACAAAGGGCCCAATCAGCCAGAGTGGCTGCCCACTCGAGGCAGTTGGGGAGATTGTCGGCTGCCAATCGGCAGACAAAGCCGGCAAGGCGGAAATACACCGCGGCATTAGAGCAGCCAGATGCCACGGGCAGGGGGGTGGGGGGGGGGCAGGAGGTCAGGGGGGAGAGCGCGGACAAGAAAGGGAGAAGCCTATGTTGAGAGAAGGAGAGAAGGAGAGAGAGAGAGAGAGAGAGAGGAGGGGAGGGCAGGCGGGAAAGGGACCAAACGTACCGACAACGGAAGAGGGCCTGGAGTTGCTCGGGGTGCAGCGGTACCCGCGGGACAGATCGTCGGCCGTGCGAGTCAGCCACCGTGCCAGGAAGCAGTTGGCCGGGGTCGGGCAAGCCGGCGGACAGTTGGCCAAGGCCGGGCCCATGAGGATCCGGTGACGCAGAGCCACGCAGAAGGCCGCCGTCAGAGGATGCCGCCCGGGGCTGGTGGACGCGGCATAGTCCAACGACACGGCCGCCGCCCGCAGGGGATTGGCCGGGATGATCATTTGGCAAAAGCGCTTCGTCTGCTCCGGGGTGAGGTCCTCGATGGTGTCCAAGAAACCAAGCATCTGCATGATGGTCTCCCCGCAACAAAGACAGTTGGGCGTGACCAGGATGCCCTTTCGGGGAAAGAGATCGCCCTCGACGGGGATGCCCGAGCCGTCGTGCGCCGCTGTCGACCCGTCGGCCATGTTTGTGTCGAGGCGGAGGAGAGAGAGCGAGAGGCAAAGAGAGAGAGAGAGAGGGGGGAGAGGAAGAGAGGGGGGAGAGGAAGAGGGAGGGAAGAAGAGGGAGAGAGAGGGAGAGAAGGGGGAAGGGAGAAATAAAGGGAGAGGGGGGGGGGGATGTCCCGAGGAGGGGAAGGGCCAGGGGGTCGCGCTGAGGAGGGAGCGGAGAAGGGGGGCGGGAAGGAGGGGGAGAGGTGGAGCAGCGGTCGCCGTGGTCGGGTGGTGATGATACGGCTTCTTGGGGGAGTGATGGTGTGCACCGGGTGCAGTGTGGATCTCCAAGCATGCGAGATGACCACGCCGACGCCTCTTGAGCTTCGTCCACCTCCGGTACATGTGCCCAGGTGCTTCCCCCGGGAAGGGGGCGGGCCAACGGATTTGATTGAAAAGTAGGAACGCCCCTTCCATGGGAGCGGCCCGTTTCAGAGGGCCCGCTAATCGTGGAACATTCCTGCCTCGCGGGACAATCGCGGGGATCGAGTCATCTCGCGGGAAATACCAGGGGCGGCCGGGGGGAGGAACACACGGCCGGGGGGGCGGGGGGGGGGGCGGGGGGGATCCACGGGTCTGGGCCCGAAGACCTGTGTTGTACCCAGGGCGCTTGGAGGAGGCTTTGTGCTATTGGGCTGGGGGACCGACCGCCGCTGGGGCGACGGTGGCGCTGCGCTGGTCGGGCGCCCTAGGCAGGGCTATCTGTGCCCTGCACCACGGCGAGAGAAGCGGGAAGCGATCAACTCCCTACCGCTAGGGGCCCTTCCGTGGGAGAACGTGCGGGGCGGCGAAGCGACGAAATGAAAAGAGAATGGCCAGCGACCACTGGAACCGCGTCAGAGGCAAGGCCAGGCAGGTGGCTGGGCCGCTGCTCCGCCGGGACACCTGCGCGGAGGCCCGGAGGACCGAACACCTCGACACCTATCTCCTCGGGCATGAACGGTCAAGGTGCAGTTGCGTAATGTGATGGTCATTGATGGGCATTGCCGCGGCCGAACACCGGGGCAGGTGCCGCCAGGCCGCTGGACTCAGGTAGGCTCGCCCTTCCGCTGATACGGCGGGCATGATGCCGCAGCCCAAGGAGAGAGAGCTGCATGGAAGAGGCGAACCGCGCAGGCCGAGAGACTAGGCGGTCCGGTGGGCGAGGCCGGAAATGGCCGTGTATGAGCTGCAGGCATGATCCTTTGTTGCCGGCCCCGGATTTCCTGTGTGCCGCCCCCCCCACACACACACACATACACAGAGCCGGCACCATCCAGGTGCGGCTCCCAAGCAGACCGGGCTTCCCCCTTCGGGGTCAAGCCTTCGAGGCCGGGAGGGGAGACAAAAATGATCGGGACTTTGCATAGCATTTTCTACAGTATGGCCTGCACGTGATTTCATTTTACCTTGAGTCCTCCTGTCACAGCGCCGCCTCAACGGACGGCCGCCGCCATCCCTTGTCACCCGTTTGTGAGTGTGCGCGGCCGTTCGCGTCCCCCGGCTTGCGGCCTTTTTCGCTGCTTCTCTTGGCCGCTCCCCCGGCATTGCCCTGCTGTGGGCGGGGGGAACCATAACCCCCCCCAGCGAGAGACCCCAGGCCCGAGGTCGCGGGCTGCCCCGGGACCGGCGGCAGATCACTTGCCTGCCATCTTCAGGTGGACGTGTCTCTCTCTGGACCCGGCGCGGGCCACCCGAAAAACCCGCCCGCCGAGACGAAATGACGCTAGCGCCCGGGGAAGGGGGGGGGGGATGACAACGCCTCGATGATGCGCCCCTGGACAAGCAACAGGGTCCATCTTTTGGTCAGACATATAATCGGGCCCGCTCTAGAGGCTTCCTTTGCTGGATGCCACCAACCTTCCTCCTCTATTCCCCCCTCCCGGCATTTGCTCCTCTCCTTTTGCTGCCACTTGCCCCCGCTCCTCGCCTTCCCTCCCCTGAGTCCCTGCACTCGCCTTCACCTCCTCGCCCTCCCCACCCACCCACCCACCCACCCCTGTCCCTTTTCTCTTCTGTACCATGAGCGCTCCCTCCGCCCCTGGTGCCACTCAGCAGCCGCAGGATGCCCCCAAGGATGTGGTTGAGCTGCCCGGCTCCCATGTCCCGGGGATGATCCCTACCTCGGTCGTCGTGCACCCGCTGGTGCTGCTGAGTGTGGTTGATCATTACAACCGTGTGGCCAAGGTACGGGCTGGCCGGTGTGCCTTCTTTTTTTTTTCCCCTGCTTTTTTCGTGTCCTGCTCCCCCCCCATTTCCCCTGGGACAGGTTGCGCATGGCCTTCCACGACCGCCGGCTCACCCAATGACCTCCCACCATAGGGCACCACCAAGCGCGTTGTCGGTGTGCTCCTCGGCCAGTGGAATGGGTCCACCATCGACGTGTCCAACAGCTATGCCGGTACGCCCTGGCCAACTTGGACCTGCCTCTTTCCTTTTGCCTGCCCTTGCCCGGGGAATCCCCCGCTAACCTTGGCTCCCCTCCCCCCCCCCCCCCCCCCCCCCCCCACCCATCCAGTCCCCTTTGAGGAGGAAGGACAGGACTCGTCCATCTGGTTCTTCGACCACGGCTACCTTGAGGAGATGTGGCACATGTTCCGCAAGATCAATGGTACGTAGGCCCCTCCCGCCGCCATTCTCCCGTCCGTTGTCTCTCCCTCTCTCTCTCTCTCTTGCCCTGGCGCCCCTTGGCTCTCGTCTGAAGCACACACACACACACATGAATGCCAATGTACCGGTGTATTCGGCCCGCTAACTCGACGATCGCTCGGCTCCCTCTTCCGGGCTTCAGCTCGCGAGAAGATCATCGGCTGGTACCACACTGGTCCGGCTCTTCGGTCCAGCGATCTGGCCATCCACTCGGTCATGTCGCGCTTCTGCCCGAACCCGGTGCTGGTGACGATCGATGTCAACCCCGAGTGTGTCGGTCTGCCCACCGAGTCCTTTGTGGCCATCGAGGAGGTTGATGTGCGTCTTGGCCAGCTGCTTCTTCCCTTTTCGACACCCAGTCGCCCCACCGGCCACTCACGCCATTCGCTTCCGCGCGTGCGCACGCCCGCAGGACTCCATCAATGCCTCCACTTCCTCCGAGTCTGGGCCCTCCTCGCGGAAAACCTTCACCCAGGTGTCCACCGAGGTCCGTGCCACTGAGGCCGAGGAGATTGGTGTTGAGCACCTCCTGCGCGATGTCAAGGACAATGGTATGCTGCCCCTCTTCCTCCCCCTCTCCCTCTTCCCCTCTCCCCCTCTGGTGCTCCCCTTGTCCCTTTGTCCTTCCGAACATGCCTCACTTTTGGCCTGCGCACCAGACATCGGAGCCTGCCACTGACACGCCCCTCTGCTCCCAGCCGTTAGCTCTCTTGCAACCCAAGTCACCGAGAAGGTGTCCTCCATGCGCAGCCTCCACAACCACCTCAAGGATATTGCCACTTACCTGCAGATGGTCCGTACTTGTCCCTCCCTCTCTTTCTCTCTCTCTCTCGCCGATCCTCGGGCCCCCTCTGCCTCTCCAACTGACACGCTTTGCCCCGCCACACACACACACACACACACACACACACATATGCATGCATGCATGCATGCATGCACACCATCAACATCGATGTCTGGCCCTCCATCACAAACAATGACAGGTTGCTGATGGACGGATTCAGCCCAACCCCGTGGTGTTGACCAACGCCCAGGCACTGCTGGCCGGCCGGCCGGATATTTCCGGCTCGGATGCCCTCTCGGCTGCCTTCACCTCGGCCGGCAATGACGCCATGCTTGTGCTTCACATTGCGGCCATGTGCCGGTCGCTCACCGCCCTGCATGATCTGATTCGCAACCGCCAGAATGTGGCCAGCTCCGAGCAGACCCTGGCTGCCGCTGCTGCGGCGGCGGCGGCCGAGCGTCCTGCCGCCACCCCGAGCACCGTTTAGACGGACACGGGATAGCTGGCCAGTCCCTGTGGATGAGCAGCTGCAAAATGAGAGCAGCTCCGGCTCTGCATCAAACTGCCCCTCGTCTCCCTCTCTCTCCCTCTCTCGGCAACAGTTGCACCCCACATATCGCATAAATCCCCCCTTTCAATCTCGCACACCCACGGGAGTGACTCTGCACCGCCTTGATGTGCCAAAGGAAGAAGGCGAGGCACGGAGGGGGGGGGGAAGGGGCGGGCGGGGAATGGGTGGGGGGCAACAACGCCGCCCGCGAGCCGCGATCAGCAAGGCGTGACAAGCGGCGGGGGCTCAAGTCTGGCCACGCACGTGACCTATCCCGATCGCGGCCCCCGCGCGCCTCACCCATGCATTGTGCGCTCTGTCGGGGCCTGAGCTGGGGCTGGCTCGTCGTCGTCGTCGTCGTCGTCGTCGTCGTCGTCGTCGTCATCGTCGTCATCTAGATCTCCGTGTGCTTGCAGACGGTCGAGGAGGTGGGGCCAAAAAAAGAGGGGGGGGGCTGGTCGAGGCATGTATCAGTTCGGTAGGTGGCGCTTGACACGCGTGTGGGACTCCGGTTAATTCATCTCTCGCCCGGCATCGGACGACACACCCTCCTCTGCTTTCTCGCTCTCTTTTTTTTTTTTCCCCAGGTGTCGGGGACGCTTTGCTGGGAAACAGGCTGAAAAGTGTGCCCGATCGAGGAACAGCCCTCACGACCCAGATTCCCGTTCTTTCCTGTTGCACTTTTCCGTCCCCTGCCGCACATCGCCCCGCCCACCTCCCTCCTTGCCTTCCCCACCCCCCCACCCCCCTCCGCGGCTCCCCTCCTCGGCATCCTGCGGCCTCGCCCTGGCCGCTTGGAGGCTCGGCCATGTTGACGCCTAACTTGCAGACACCGCGCTCGGCTGGGGGGAAATTGGGTCCTGGGCCTCGGGTTCGGGCCCGGTGGACACCGCGCCAGGGCCGCCGCGGCCGGAGAATCACTCGACTGCTCATCTTTGCGGTCTTGCTGCCGACCCTCTTCTTCGGGGTGATTTTTGCCATCGTGCTGGTGTTCGTGCCGCAACTTTGGTGGACAATTCCCCAGGCACTTCGCCAGCTGGCCGATGAACGGTGGCTCGGGCGGATTCTCACCACTGGCCGATGTCATTTGCTCACGGCCCCGGTGGTTCAACTGGGCCTGCCACAGCCGGAGCAGGACTCTGCCCTCCTTCGGCCACTGGGCGCGACACTGGGCATCTCACCGGATGCTTGGGAAGCTGCCACGCATGACGGCATCCCCGGGTACAACTATCTCTGGGTCGATATGTACGAGAAGGGCGGCTGCCAGACGCACATACACACACGCACGCATGCACGCACCCCTTTTCGCCCATCAGGCCCCTCTCGGCCTCCGACTGCGCCCTGGCCACTGGTCACACTTCGACCATGGATCCCGCCATTTGCATCGCTGACTCTCCCTCCCCCGGGCAAAAAAAAAAACAAAAAAAAACAAGACACTTCCTTGCCACATGCCCACATGACTACTGCTTGCAATTGTTCCACACACCCCCTCACGCCGGGTTTCAAGCCCGGCTTTTCTGGCACACACTCGGCGCAACGCCCGCCCTGCGTGAGGTTCAGCCGCTGGCGGGTGCCGAATTCGCCACACATGCGGGGCATTGCACTGGCTGGGCCATGCGCACTGCCCTCCCGAGTGAGGCTCCCTTGGTCTATCGCGCACGCATCCTTGCCGTCTTGCCGAAGGGCTTGAGTTCGGTGAGAGGCTCCTTCGGCGTCGACATTTTCCGCTTGTCCGCCCCCGATGGCGTGAGCCGAGTGGCATCCGCCAGTGGAACGAGCCTCGGTGGCGGCGGCGGCAGCGGCGGCGGCAGCGGCGGCGGCGGCGGCGAGGGCAGCCGCTTCAGCCCCAGTGGGGATGCTGTGCCAGCTCGCGGTGCCGGCGCCGACATTGATGGTGGCGGGAATTTCGGGCCCGGCAGCGGTGGTGGGCCCATCGCCGGGAGTCTGTGCTGTGCGCGACGCGGGAAGGGTCTCGCCAGGCCCCCCTGTCCGAAGCTATTTCTCCCGTATGTTGCCGCTGCGCCAGGGCGACGGCGCCCTTGTTGGGACGTGCCAGCCGCTTGGCCGCCCGAGCGCTGGGCTCTGCCCGCTGGAGGCGTGACGCTGGTGGCCAGCACGGCGGTGTCACTCGGTGCGGCCGATCCCCGACGCCCACGGTTGGCCTTGGCCGCTGACAGCCAATACGGCTCGTTGGTGTTCCGCCAGCTGGTGGCCCAGCTGGCTGACCAGGCACCCGATGCCGTCATCCTGGCGGGCGATGTGGTGGAAAACTCCCGCTACCTGGACAAATGGCTCCGACACTTCCACTGGCCACTTGGGAAGTTGTTTGTCCGGCGCGATGGGCACTCGGGCCCCGGCCCGCGGCTCCCCGGACTGCTTGTTTCCCCGGGAAATCATGATCTGGAAGGGCAGTATGAACACTTTCACGCGTTGCTCGGGCCGCCGGTTGGCAAACCGGCCAATCGGACGTGGGCTGGCAGCGATCCGAATGGCTCTTGGCCGGACCCCTTCAACTTGGGCTACCCCACCCCCGGGGGACTCTTCCAGTCCGGTGGCCTGCTGTCCCCATGGCTGAGTGTCAGCTCGCTCAACTCCTTCGATGGTTCCTTGCACCAGGAGCAGCTGCTGGTGCGTGCACTGCGCGCGCCAGCAGCCCGGCGGGCCGCCTGTCGCCTGGTAATCATGCATACGCCACCTTGGGTGGAATTTTGGGAGCCAGTTGCTTGGCACCGCAAGAAGGAGGTACGTGCCTGGCCTGGCCTGGCCTGCCCTTCCCCTCGCATGCACCGCCCATTTTCTGTCCGCAAGCATGTGGCTCGCCTGGTGCGCCGTGGCATCTCCTCCGCCTGCTAACGTCGCATGCATGTGCGCACATCTGTATGCATGTGTGTGTGTGTGTGTTTGTATGCTCCCAGTATGCCCCATCCGACCATGCGCGAAAACGATGGGTCGATCTATTCAACGTGCGATCACCACCCTTTATTTTGCCCCCCCCCCCCCCCCTGGCTCCCATCGAAGAGGCTTTCACTTGTTTGGCGAGGGGATGCGAAACAGAGAAGAACGCGCGGCGAACATGTGTGGAACTGCAATCGGGCCTTTTTTTTTCTCTCGCTCCTGTCGCTCACCCACTCATCTGCCTTTCGGTTCACTTGCCCGTCCATCCATCGAACAGTCCCTGGGGGTGGATCTCGTTGTGTCTGGACACTCTCACCTATACCAGCGCAGTCATATGGCTCCCTTTGTCGTGAAGAATGGCCCCGGTGACAGCCAGCTGGTTGCTTCGACCTACGTGACCATCGGCGGGGGTGGTGGACACTTGGACCTGGAGCCGCACACCCCGAGCCTGTCCAGTGACCGCACGGCCAAGGACCACTGGGCCCGCTCGGAATTCCACTTCTCCCAAGTTTTCGCGCGAACCATCCACAACCGCCACTTTTATGCGTTGGCCGAAGTGCGGCCGGAGCCGGTGCCCGGATCGGAAGGGCCCAAGCTTGGCGGAGACTGGTACATCCACTGGGAGGTTTTTTCCTTCGGGCAGGATCGAACTCTGGACCTGGCAAGTATCCCCTGTCGTGGCCCGCTGGACGGGCCATAGCATTGGCCCAAGGAGCGGGGCGGGGGTTTCACCGATGAGGCTGTCCGGGACATTGGAAGCAAAATGCAGAGACAGATGAAATATGCGACTTTTCAGGCCAGCAAATGGGGTGATATTTGCCCCCTCTCGGCATATATGATACAAGGGGGGGGAGAGAGAGAGGAGAAAGGGGAGGGCGAGAAAAGGGGAAAAGAGGGGGCCAGGCAAACAGAGGAAACCCCCACCGACGGGGGATGCAGCCGCGTGGGGGGGGGGGGGGGGACAGGGAAAATTCGCCCCAAACAGGGCATCAAATCCGGAAGAGAGCCAGCACTTGGTCCTCGGTCAGGCCCGCGGCGGTGATCTTCCCGGCAGCCAGCGGAGCCCAGAGCTCCGTCAGCAGGACCATGACCGCGAAGCCGGCCACCTCGAAGCCGGCCTCCCGGGTGAGGGCCACCGCCGCGGCGGCCGTCCCGCCAGTGGCCAGCAGGTCGTCCAGGACAACGGCACGTGGCTGGCGACCGGTCGCGATCGCGCCCGTGCAGGCGGCCGCAGCCCCGGCCGGGATGGCCAACACATCGGCACCGTACTCCTTGGTGGAACTGCGCTCGATGACGGTCCCGGGAAGCTTGCCGGCCTTGCGCACCGGGATGAAGGGGATGTCCAATTGCTGGCACACCAGCGGCCCGAAGAGGAACCCCCGCGCGTCCAGGGCAATCACCGCATCCACTTGCCCGAAGTGCTCGGAGATCTGCCGGACCAGCTCATTGACCACAATGCGTACCGCCGCCGGATGATGGAAAATTGGGAAGATGTCCTGGAAGAGGACGCCCTTTGTTGAGTTCGTGTTCATGTGTGAGAGGGCGGGAGGGAGCCAGAGAGACCGACAAAAGGTGGCAACAAAGTATCAGACGCTGACCCGGGCGAATGGAGAGAGAGGGAGGGAGATACGGAGAGAGGGGGGGGGGAGGAGGGAGGGAGGGAGGGAGGGAGGGAGGGAGGGGAGAGGCCCACGCACAGGACAGGGGAAGTCGGGGTGCTCAGCCAGCAGGCCGCGCACATCCTCGAGGGTGTTGATCGGCTGGGGGGACGACATGGGTGGGTTTCTTGAGGAAGCTCGGCACTTGGAGTGGGGCGGGCAAAGGGGGGGGGGGGGATGAAACCGGCGGACCAACCGGCGCACCAGGTCCCGCTTAAAAAAAGCGCTCCACAGAGTGTGGAACACACTCAGGGTTCCGCCGCCCCCCCCCCACCACCCACCCTGGCCCCATCCTCCTGCCGGAGCCCAGTCACAGGCGAGGGGCCGATCGACACGTTGGCTCATCCAGCTCCCAACGGATGTGGGACCATGCTGTGTCGGCCGCCTGTTCCTCGCCTCATCAAGCCGGGACCAGCTCGGGAGCACAAGGTTAGAGAGCCGGTCGGCACCCCCGCCCCGCCCCGCTCCGCCCCGCCCGCCCCATCCCCTTCCGAAGGACACCAGGCGAGGCGGCGAAAGACCAATGAGGCGCCCTGCAGCTGGGCCCATGGGCAGCCGGACCATGTAAGGCAACCCTCCTCACCCACCTTCCCCTCCTCCGCGCTTCTGTCTCCCCCCCCC